CTGAAATAAAGGAATATTAATCAATAGATGCATCTCAAACCTGAAAGGTTGATTCTGATATTTAAAAATTGGGAGAAAAAATAAGGCGGCGGCTCCTACCTCATTATAGTCAACAAACAATTTATTTGCCCGGAGATAACTTTCAATCATTGACACCTATAATTTAATGAAGAGGTCACATATCTATTAAAAGAATAATACTTAGCAAACTAATTATTATTATCACTTGGTAAAGTACTCACAGTCTCATCACTTCTACCAGTCAATTTGAGATACTGTAAAGTAACATGGTCTACAGGGAAGAACCCCATGGTTGCACCATATTCAGGAGACATATTCGCAATAGTGGCCCTGTCAGCTAATGATAGCTCACCCATACCTTCCCCTGCAGACATACAAACATGAGACATCATATATAGCCACGACAGAGCAAATGCAATCATTACTTAAAAGTACACCTAATAAGAAATAAATTACCATAGAATTCAACAAACTTTCCAACAACTCCATGCTTCCTCAGTATTTGTGTGACAGTCAAAACCAAGTCAGTAGCAGTAACACCATTGTTTAATTTTCCAGATAACTTGAACCCAACAACTCCAGGCAACACCATGCTCATAGGCTGTGAATTTAAAAGAATAAAGTATTATATGAAAATTTGCAGTAAGAGTGTAAAACATGCATAGTTTTAGCATGCAAGTGTGCATTAAGGTGTATTGAACATCGCTTTATAAAATAAATATGCCTTCTCTGGTCCTTACATAGTTTTCAGGACTTTACATTACCTGGCCAAGCATAGTAGCTTCAGCTTCAATACCTCCAACTCCCCAGCCAGCAACTCCTAACCCATCAATCATGGTTGTGTGGGAATCAGTTCCAACCACGCTATCAGGGTAAAGTAAGCCATCAGTATTGAAAACAACCCGTCCAAGATATTCAAGATTAACCTGAAATTACAATATGTCAATTAACTTCAAACTAAATCCGTAAGAATTGATAATTCTAAAGAGACTCAAGGGTTACATGGTTCAGTATATCTAGTTTTCAAATGATAAAAAAAAGATAACTACTTTACCTGATGAACAATGCCAGAACCAGGTGGAACAACAAGCATATTGTGGAAAGCATTGGACCCCCATTTAAGAAAAGCGAATCTCTCTCTGTTTCTCTGGAATTCAAGGTCCATATTGGCCTGCACAGCATTTGCTGATCCTGCAACGTCGACTTGAACTGAATGATCAATAACAAGATCAACAGGAACCTGCGTGAATGCAAAATATTATTTAAAAAAGAATACTAAGACAAACGAAAGAGTGACCCTGGCATGGTAAATTCAATAACATAGATTGTGAATCTCAGAATCAGAACTCCACATACCAAAGGATTGATCTTGTCAGAATCGCTCCCAAGTTTGTTCATAGCATCACGCATACAAGCAAGATCGACCACAGCTGGAACTCCCGTAAAGTCCTACAACAAAATCATATAAGCATTGGACAAGGAAGACAATGATGCCAATAACTTTTGTATACTAAATTCATGACCCTACAAAGGGTAAATGAACTCATGAATTACCTGCAATAGTACACGAGCAGGCTTGAAAGGAATTTCAACTTGCTTCGGGGCAGTCTTTTCCCAATCAATAATTTTCTCAACATCCTCCTTCTTGACTTGGAAATTGTCACAATTACGAATAGCAGATTCAAGAAGGATTCTGATGGAGTATGGTAACCTATCTGTTACACACATGCACAAGAGGATGTTATTAATCGTACGATTAACATAAACATCGAAAAGGGATATCAGCCAGCTGAGTGCTAGAATATTACCGATCCTGGGGTCGTTCAGAGAGGGAAGGCTGTAGAATTTTCCAAACTCGCCACCTCCGGGCTTGGGAAGACTTGTTAAATTTGCCTTGAAAGGGTTTTCAGAAGCTGAAACCACATAGAGGAACAGGCAAAACACAAATTAAGACTCTAAAACTACTTTCTAAATTATTATTTTTAAATTAAATTAATGGCCAGGAATTTCTGTGTCTATTTCAAAATTTGATCCAACGACACCAGTGTCCCATTCAATCAATAAGACTAATTCTAAATGAATAAAAACACGAAAATTATATCAAATTTACTAGGATTTCCGAATCATTTTCTCAGAAGCCAAACAGGTTCATTATGCAACATTTTTTCAAAAACAAGCAAGTAATCAACACGAATCAGATCAAAAATAAAATAGCGATGAACAATCCAAAAACCGAAACTCCGAGAAATACGGAATGAGATGAGACGGTACCCATGGAAGCGATCTTGCGCTGGAACTGTTCGATTACGGGAGCGATGGCTCTGATCTGAGACCGAAGCGTGTAGGGGGAGCGCCAATGGACACCGCCGTGGCTCCAGCGAGAGAAAGAGCGAACCGCAGAGGAGGAGCTGAGGAAGCGGTGAGAGGCGAAGTGATGGTGAGAAGGCTTGAGCGGCGAACCAGCGAAGGTTCTGGAGATAGGAGACGAGGAAGAAGAAGACGAGAAAAGGCGAGCCCTAGAAGCTCTGAGAAGCGAGGAGGCAGATGAAGAGGCTGTGTTTATATACATGGCGACGATCACGCATTCATAGACAAAAAGGCAGAGAGCAGAAAATGGGATAAGGATTTGATCAAGAGAGAGAGAGACAGAGAGTGATGATGATGATGAGATACAAACAAAGGAGATATGGAGGACGAAGGAACAGTCGTAAGACTGTTTCTGCGAGGGTGAGGAAGAGGAGGAGGAGGCGTGTGGAGAGCAAATGAAACCTAGGGCTGCGTGCCGCTTCTAGATGTAGTAATAAGACTGACTGGCTGGGCTGGAGACCTGGAGAGTAGGAATAGGAGAGGGTTCTATGGGGTGGGTGATACAAGCGCATTTCATTGTGCTACTATCCAATCAAATATTTCCACGTCATCATTCATCAACAAAATAATGCTACGGACAGTAGTCCACGTGTAAGTTTCAGACTCCCCAATTGTTGATGCAGATGATTCAACGAATCATCAACGTCAGAACAACTCTCAATCCTGTGTAGGCGACTGTCTTAACTTTGCTCATAAATAATTTATTTTCTAAATATAAACCGAATGTGTATTTATTTTTAAATATTTATATTTTTTTATAAGAAAATCAACTGACTACAAACGCACGCAAACAGCTCCAGTCAAGTGGAAAAGGATCTTAACTTGTAGACTAGTGATTTCAAGTTCGAATCTCATTCTTCCATTGTTTTTTTTTTAATATAAGAAAATGGAGATTTGAACTTAGACATAAAAAAGACAAACTCATTACCCTAACTAACTGGCATAACTCACATTTACCTCACTCTTCCAATGTTAGAAAAGAAAAATGCATTCATGTATGTTTCTATTTGCTATCCAATAAGCTTTTTTTTACACTAAATACTTATATATTTTTACTCTATTTCTAGAGATATAATTTTGATGATGTGGGTTCCCATAAAAAATAAAATAAATAAAATCTGATGATGTGATAGCTGAGAAAGGCATAATTGCATTATTTGTTTGATTTCAACGGAATTATGCAAAATTTTGTATTAAATTAGACAAACGAATACACGTTACATGAATTTAGCTAATCAACCATTCATATTGATTATCTAATAGCATAAAATATGTCAATTAAATAAGCAACAGAAAAGAAAAGTTACTCATTATATATTTTAATTAGTGTAGGAAGGTTCTTGAACAGGTGCCCAGATTCGGTTTTTATGTTAATTTCCTTAAAAACTACTTTATTGACGTGAAGTTTGGAGGATTTTGATTAGCCACAAATTATATTATACAGCCCATAAAAAAGCATACTATTCCACGTACTTTCGCAAGTGGCAATCTCCCCCCAGGTTGTGTGTTTACTGTGATGCTGATGGTGAGAATAGCCGATCCCTCCCAAACTTTTTTTTATCAACCAAAAACAACATACGTGACTATTCTTCTTTCGTGAGAGAATTCGAATATGTAAGAGGACCTTATCAAAATGCTATTTTCTTTTTGCAACCTTTGTCTTTTCTTTTCCTTTTTTTTCTTTTTTTTCTTTTTTTGTGTGGCCCTTTTTGCCACTCAAGTAGGTAGGGACCCGATATTTCATATTTGCGACCCGAAAAAGAGGGTGGGATACACGTGGCAGCGTGGCTCATATGAGCCTATGCTTTTAGCGGCAAAGATGTGAGCCTCTGATCACAAGGGTGCATGCTGATGTGGATAAATATGTAATCTAAATATAGTTTTTGGCACTAACTATTGGGTCAATTCAAAAGGACCGGTTACGGTTCGCCGTTGAAAGTATTGTCCAAGTGGGGGCACTGCTTAAACTTTCATGATTTTTTTCATAATTTAAGACTCTTTTTTTTAAGTTAGGAAAATAATATGGTTTTTCTCACGTGTTAGAGCATTTTCACTGCACCCCCCAGCTCGGGCAGGAGGGGGCCGTTTCCATCAGTACAAAACAACTCAAGCAAGGTGTGGGTTTCACCAAGTCCTAGTAGATCCGAAAGCAAGAACAGCCCAAGTTGTTGCCTGAGGGCTGTGACATCAATGATGACATTAGCAACGAAAAAAAGTTTTAAAAAATGGAAAAAAAAATACCAAAAATGTCAACAAACAAAATTTTTATAAGTATCTAGCTATATTCTTCACTTCTCACACCAAAACTCTATACAAATCCATTTCTTCATATCTCATGTGAATAGTGATTGCCCTTGGATTGCCATGGCAATAGGTGGAAAACCAACAAAAAAAATTGCTACGGCTAGCACTATTCATGTGAATAGTAACAACCCTTACCTCCTCTTGCCTTTTGCCATGGCAAATGAATAGAAATGCTCTTATGAATTTGAATTTGAGACCACTAGTGTGCAAGTCAATGCTTTTTTTCATTGAGCTAAACCTTTTTCTTTTTTTTTTATATCAATATTAAATATATTATATAGCCTTTGGTTTTCCTATTACAAATGTTGGCCTTCGTTCTTGCAACATATTCTCATGTGTTAATTTCATTCTTACAACATCTTGTCATTCATGTACTAATTATATGATCAGTTAGTATTCATAGTTTGTTTTTAATTTATCTTCATTCAAAATGTGATTTTGAGTCAATTTAAAGAGTTTTTTTCTTGCGAATTGTTATAGTTGCACCTTCTTCTTTTTTTAAGTTAATGAGCCCTACATTCTAATTGGATTCTACAAATGCATGTAGGGCTATTAAGCTGACTTTGAGTAATAACTAATCGTTAAAGTGGTTGTATGATTGAAATTCTCTTGCGGAACGTTCTACAACACTTTTACATAAACTATACAACTTTAAAACTTTGTCCTTTTATTCTTCTAGGAAAAAGCTTGAATTAAGATATCTAATTGACTTCACATTGTGTTTAATGAGATCATCATCCTAACCCATTTCCTACTTTTTATCACCACGTTACCTAATCTCAAATACTTATTTGAGGTTAATCTTTCACAATTTAGTAAAAAAGCCCAAGAAGGTTCAAACTAATTTTTGTTAGAGCATTTCCATGCAGCGAGGGGCCTGGGGGGAGGGTGGGGGGGGGCAAACCCAAAATGGTGTTTCCAGCAACAAAAATCTGCCAGGGCAAGGTGTGGGCCCCAGCAACCTGAGCTAGCCTTTGGAGAGGTTCGACCCGAGCAGCAAAACGAGTTTTGGGCTAAAATTAGCGCTGAGGTTTAAATTTTTTTAACGTTGCGCACGCGCCACATTATAAAAAAAAAATATTGACGTGCCCGCTACAGTGACCCCCCAACGGGTCTATTCCACGTGGCGAGGGCTAGGGCTGTCCGATCCACTTTTTCCAGAAATCCAACGGCAGCCATTTTTTAGCCAATAAAAAAATGAAAAAAACTTTAAAAAATTTAAAAAAAAATACCCAAAAAATACTGTATTTTTTTCTATAAATACCAACCAATACTCTTCACTTTTGACACCAACTCCTCATACATTTTCTTCTTCTTCTACTATTATTTACTTTCTACTCAATATTTTTTTCACTTTCAAGTTCTATTTTTCTAGAAAAATTTATGGGTTATTCTAGTGAAACCGGAGGGGCATGGAGCGTCATGGAAGATGTTAGCTTGTGTGAGTCTTGGGTCCACATTAGTCATTGTCCCGTAACGGGCAATGAGATGAAATTCTGTCATATGCGGAAAAAAATTCATCAGGATTTTTGTGAAAATGTAATTGGTTTGACCCGTACAGACCAGGCACTATCTAGTATGTGGAAAATTCTTAACAAAAAGTTGGCGAAATGGAGGGATGTCTTGGCAAAAGCGATGGACAACCATAGAAGCGAGGAAAACCTTACCAGTGAGGTAAATTATTTGTATTTTGTTTTGCATTTCTAATAAATTGTTAAAGTTTCTTGTATTTCCATTATTATTATTTTTGAACAAAGTAGTCATCATAATTGCAAATATCATGCATGACTTTATTGAACAAATGGGGTTGCATTCTATATCTTGATCGAAAATGAATATCAGAGTACAGAGATTGTGGGATAAAATAATCTTCCATAAGATTCTTACCCTGAGAATGTCTATGTCTGTTCACATTCGATACTCGGCCTTCTCGTGAACCACAGCGGCCCTAGTTTTTTTCCTCCAGCAAAGCAATGGCCACACCAAGTTGCTCATCTAGTTCTCTCTGCGCCCTTTTGCTTGCAGCTCTTTTAAGCATTCTTGCTCGCCTTTCTCGCTCTTGCCTCTCCAAAACCTCTTCCATGTCTGACATTGAGAATGGAGAATGAAATCTAAAATCTGATAAATGAAATCTAAAATATGAGAAATGAAGATGTAGAGAAGATATGGTGTGGGAGGTATAAGCTGAGCCTCTGGTTTTATAGAAAAATTTAGGCAGATAGAGATTACACGTGGCGCAATTTTAGAGCGTGAAAATCTTATCTGAAATTTGAAATTCACATGAAATTTGGAATTTGAAAGTTATCTGGAATTTGAATTTTGAAATGTATCTGAAATTTGAAATTTATCTGAAATTTGAAACCGAAAATCTTATCTTATATGAATAGTATTGACACGTAGGAACTGAAAAATCTTATCCGAAAATATTATCTAAATTAACTGTTTAAGTAAACAAAGTTATAAAAAAAACAAAAACATGAATAGTATTTGCCATGACAAGCCTAAACTGCTGGAAACACACTTTGCTGGGGAGGCTAGGGCAGCCACTATTCACGTGAATAGTAGCTGCCCTAGGGCTCCCCTTGCCATGACAAGGGGCTAACTGGTGGAAATGCTCTTACAGATGCTAAATTTTTGGGTAATTTTTATTTGAATAATGTTACTTTTACCATATTTGTATACCACATCCATATACCATCTAATGTGGCAGCTGAGGTGGACAACCACATCAATTAAAATTATTTAATATTTTCTTTTCTTTTATGATTTATTCCAATGTTTGTTTTTCTAATTGTCTTAATTAAAAGAATAATGCTACTCTTACCACATTCTTATACCACCTTATGTGGCAGATGAGATGGACAAAACATCAATTAAAATTATACAAATTTATAAATAAACCCAATCCTAGACATGTATTTATAAAAAAACCCAAGCACTATTTAAACATAGAAACACACCCAAAATCAACCCCAAAGTCAACTTTTTGGGTGTGTTTATAAATGGGTTTTGAGTGTGTGTAATGATGAGTTTTGGGTGTGTTTATATGTTTAAATAGTGTTTGAGTTTTTTTATAATTTCAACCTCCATTTTGGGTGTTTTAATGAAACTCCCTTAAAATTAATTTAAAGTTTTCTTATCTTTTATGATTTATTGACACTTTT